TGAACTGAATTCAGAATTTTCTTTCTTCTGGATTAATTGCAGCTTAAGATACTAAGATCCAATCTACCCTACTATTTAAACCATAGCTGGATGAAGATGATGGATTCATGCCTTTTCCTTGGCTTTGACTCACCAAAATTTGACCAAATAGGTTTTGTAGAATCTGTCCTTGTCGGAGCGAAATCTTTTCCGCACCTCTTCCTATCAGCACCTCTTTAGTGTTCATCACTTATTGAAGATAAAATATCATAGGCTGCTGCACAGTACCACAATTTAATCTGATGTAATTATACGACCGTTTTGTTAATTTCTGTTGGCACCAACTTAACGCTCTCAATTTGATAGAAAAAATATTAGAAATAAACGAATCAATTTCTCCACATTATCGACTTGAGATGTAAAAGTTCATTTTAAATGGTGACTTTAAACACGCACACACTCATACACGCAAACACACATATATATATATGAATACGTGTGTGTTTGTCTATATTTACTGTTCGTTGGTTTTTATATAAGTGTTATATAAGAGAGATTCTAATTTTTCAATGTAGACATTGGTATCCATTATCACTATTTCTCAACACTAGAAAGCGTGCTTACAAAATTTGCAAATCCATAAAACTCGACAACACCAATAGCACTTCTAAAAAAACAACACAAAATTCATAACACTAACACTTTCTACAAAACTTAAAAATAAGTAAGTTATTACTAACAATAAGATTTTTTACAACCACGTCCAAGACAATTGGAGATACAATTAGGAAGAAAAATAAATTCAACACTAATTCAAATAGCGGTACTTATTAAATAAATTGTTTACAATGTGAAAAAAATTATATAGGGGAGACATCTAAACGCCCACATCTTCGAACACAAAAGAGATTTGCATTTAGACATCCATTCAAATTCTCTCGTAATGCACAGGAACGACACTGGCCACAACTTTGAGTTTACTAATGCCACTCTAAACCCCCCAAAAAAAAAAAAAAAACGCAATTCTTTAATGTTGAAACCAAGGTAGCGGATTCAATTGACCTCATGATTTTTTAAAAGGTATATATATATATATATATATATATATAACCAAGTATATAATTGGTGTATACGGAATGAATTTCAATAACCAACAATTACTATTCTTAAAAAGAGTGCTCAATACAAAGTAGACCAGATATAATTATTTATTTAGAAAATTTATAACATAAACATATTATAAACATGTTTATGTTATAAATTTTCTAAATAAATAATATATATATATATATATATATATATATATATATATATATATATATATATATATAAATCAAAGTGTTGGTAAACATGTAATTATATGTGTGTGTGTGTGTAGTATACAAAATGAGAGAGTAAGTTGCGTATTGATCAAAACTTCTCTCTGAGCTCAATGAGTAGTATCTGTGCTGTATACCTTAAATCAAAATTCAAAAAGTCGCTCTCCAATATTTCTGTCTAGAATCAGTGTTATATTTGAACGCTCTGTTTTGAATTAAAGTTACAATTAATTTCTTTTATTTTCATTTTTCAAGTACTTTCGATCTTCTTACAAGATAATCTTCAGGGGTGCAAGTAGTACAAAACTATATGTTGTTCAATAGTACAAATATTCATACAAAGCTGCGCGTTGTTAACCATTACCGTAATTTTTACATTACGTTTTAAATGCAAAACAGTTGACAACGTGCTGAGCGATCATTAGAACGCGAAAAAATTTTCCATTATAGAATTTTTTTCCATGTTATAATGTCATGTTTTGTACTACTTGAATTCCTGAAGATGATCTTGGAAGAAGATCAAAAGTACTTGGGAAATGAAAATAAAAGAAATCTAAACAGATCTAGAACATTTCTCTCATCCTTTAATATCAAAACACGGAAGGTTATTCGTGAGTATGAACGGATTTTGTTAAAAATTTACAGACATAATGTCTGTAATTTATTCAATCAGACACACACACACACGAACACACGCACACACACACACACACACACACACACACATATATATATATATATATATGCAAATTATTTTAAGATAGAGTGTGTAATGCGTTGAACAATTGTTTTATTTTCAATTGCGTATACGTGTCTTATATATAAAGACACACAAATAACTCGGTATGTGTTAAATGCTATACTACTTTCCTATTTACCTTCTACGTGTGAATCTTCTGAGACACACACAACGACAGGCATGCATAGACGCCATTATATATATATATATATATATATATATATATATATATGTATGTATATATATATGTGTGTGTGTGTGTGAGTGTGAACAACAATTTTCCGTCTATTCATTTTGCTGTGTCTGTTTTACACACGAAATCGAATTTTCCCGTTTATTAAAGTCCTTCCTACGTTGTTCGCGAATTTTCCCCCAACTCACGCACAGCTTTTAAGAAGAAACGGACGTTTGAGTGGGAGGGGGAAGTGAAGGCGAAGCATTGAACAGAGGATCATGGGATAGAAATCGTGACCACCATTGAAACAGTTAAATAATGCCTCAGTCATATGTTTTGTTTAGAGGAGAGATGTGAATTTTTGGTCTACGATGCATGGAAAATGAATCAGTGGGAAAAATAACAAACCTTGAACAGTTTCTCGATCCAAAAATATATTGTTTCCTGATAAAATGATATTTTTATCAGCGCTCGACAAATTTTGATCAATTTTCTTCGACGGAGTTAATATATTTCCACATCTGATATTTTGATACCAATAACTTCAAAATAATCGATCGGTTAACATTTTCATCATTTTTATAAATGTAATTCTTTTTTATTTTTTTAAATTGATATTCTTATCAGTTTCTCTTCAAATCAGAATATTTAATGATGATATCAAAATTTTCTTCCCTATGTATATTTCATTATAATCTACCAACTGATGAAAAAATCTCAACGACAAACATTATTAAAACTAAGCAGATTGTCTCCCCTCGAAAAGCATTATGATATTACATTGATGCTGGGTCCAAACATTGATATATTATTTCTTACCACGACTAACCGATTAACCGTCCTGGGTATGACGATAAACTACATCCGGCAGCAAAGCTTCTGATCAGGAGGTTTTGAGGAGCGTGTAAACACTTCTTAATTGCTGGTGTTCACAGGTCCACCCTGACCCGGGGTAGTAGCACCTGTTAGGGTCCCAACTATCGGCAAATAGTTAACCCCAAACTGGGGTCAAAATACTATTAAAGTGTAAAAATAGGTTTAAATACCAGAAATACTTTGTAAAAAATTATTACCAGCAATACATTTTTGAAAAAAGAAAATTACCAGCTATACATTTTAAAAAATATATTACCAGCAATAAAAATCTTGTCGACATTAAATAACCCATTGAAGTTGAAATGCCGTAAAACAAAACAAAGTAAAGCAAACGACATCAAACTAACTGATTTAAACGCCACAAAATGGATATTATTATTATTATTATTATTATTACAAAGTCGTATGTCCATCTTTGATATTTATTCCCGGATGTTATAAACACCCCTTTGACTTTTGAAATTTTTTGTATTTCTTTATAAGATTAAAGTTCGTTATCTATCCTACATACCCCCATTAAAAATGTCAGAAAATAAGGCAAGCCTTACTGGAAGAATCGTACTTTAAATATATAAGCATTGAAAATCAAGAATAAAGTGATTGTTAGTAGTCAACTTAGGCAATCTTTGTTGGTAGAATTTCAATTCCCACCATTTTTACGTTGCGAGGAAAAGTCATCAATTGTTTAAGTGTGCCATCTCAGGCACATACACTAACAGAAGATAATCAATATTAGAAACAATCTTCTAAGTAAAAATTATCGTGAAGGAATAATATCAGCTTATGGATAACGGGAATCGGTAATCTGTCACGGTCTGTCGATCTTGCATCAGATGCGCGTATCGGTGAGAATTTGCAGTTGAGGACAACATCAGGATAATATTAAAAAAACAATTCCATCTTTCGGAGTTAGCTGATCACAATCAGCCCTCCATTATACTAGACGTGACCAAGGACTGTGGGTCTAGCATACCCCTTCATACAGTTGTGTGCAGGGGATGTAAAATCAATCTCGAAAGGTCGTGATGCGTGAAGAGAGTAAACGGGGTTTCCTGATGGTCGTGAGATCAATCTTTGGATCAGGCAGGTGAAACTCAGTAGAACAAGCAGAGGTGGCATCACAAAAGAACGAATGAAAAAAAAAAATAAGTAAATAAAACAACCGCAGTAAATAATGCGAGTTATCTCCCTTGCTGAAGACAGATGAATGAGAATAGTGTGTGGTTGAATCAAGTGGAATGTTGAGAACGTTATGTCGGAGTTACCTCCTCCTTCTGTCCTTGAACCAGCAGAGGAACAGGTCTTTTCGACCTTGACCTCTCATTCATATTCCTTACACACTGTTAACACGTCAGAGGGACTAGCAAACCCCCTTTTTTAGTTAGGCTATATTACAAACCTAGGTGTAATATACATCTAGTCATTTTTAGACCATAGTTATCTTTGGCTAACCTTGTAGTATTTTTTTATAGAGACTTTTCGGTTAGCTTAGCCAATTTCTCTTGCTGGTCTTCCTCGACACAAGACAGTGATTTCTCCCTAGCTTCGAGGAGGCTGTTGGCGGCCGCAACGGTCGTCTACGCAGGCCCCTTGGCCTTCATTGGCAAAGGATGCCGTTCAACGGGCTGTGTATTAAGTTACGCTCCCACTTTTTTTTGTCTGCCAACTTGACGATAGTTGGGAACTTTCTTTCTTTCTTTCTCTCTCTCTCTTCCCAACACGTCAAGTTGGCATCCCGGCAATGACAAACAACGAGTTGGCACCCCGGCAAACGACTCAGCTTCAACAACCAACAAAGATCATCCTGGCATCACTCAACATCAACAACCCCAAGCGATCATCCTGGCAACAACCCACATCAGCTTCAACCCCCTACAACGATGATCCTAGCAACTGCCAACCTCGACCATCAATGCATGCACTAAAACTTCTGCAGTATCCAGCACTCCTGCAGCTTCCATCTCACTCCTGCAGCCTCCAGCAGCATCCGGCTCACCCCTGCAGCATCCGGCTCACTCCTGCAGCTTCCGGCTCACTCCTGATGTTTCCAGGTCACTCCTGCAGCTTCCGGCACTCCACCGTTTCTGACCATCTTCATTTCCTTTTCCTTTTAGAATAAACCTCTACATATCATATATATCCTCGTTTTGTCGTCCATATTGTTTCACGGTCAGATTTAACGTCTTCAAAAATGTTAGCGGGCCTCTTGTGACCTCGTTCACCCCTTTCCGTGATACGGGGCCACTGGACCTCCCCGCTACAGTTACTAAATTTGACAGACACGCCTCAAAAGCGTCATTTGCTTGATTAAAACAGAAACATCCTTCATGAGTTGAGATCGAAGTTATCAACAAAGCCGTAACAGAGATAAATGTTTTTGTTTTTTTTTTTGTGGGGAGAGAAGGGGCAAAAGATATTTAGTCCCTGGACGGTAAATATCCAGTGTTTTTCGGACGGGGTTAGTCTTTTCGTATTCTTTCTCTTTTTATTCGAAAGAGAAATATATAGATTGAAAGATAGAAAAAGAGATAAGGATTTTAAGGGAAAGCAAATGCTTTGTTTAAATTTGAATTCTTTTCTATTTGTTTGCACATTTTTAGTTTTATATTTTATTTTATTCGACTCACCACAATTCCAACTTAAAATGAAAACACATCCACACGATTGAAGGAAACTACCATTATCGTGCACTTTTAAAGAATTCTTTCATCGGAGTGTTATGAAAGATATATTCTTTCTTTGATAGTTTTTTTTTGTTTATTGTATTTTGTTAAAATAAACAATAAAAAATTGATGTAATGAATATGCATAAACCTGGGTTCCCCCTCACAGTAATATGATTAGCTGGTGTCAGCCATAAATACAGACTGATGTGGAGGTAGAGGACGACGCCTATTGTCTTCACCTATTGCCTATGCCTATTGCCTACCACTACGATGAGGATCAGTCCATTACGGTTACCTGCTAGATTGTCCTACCCGGTAACAGTAGTCAACAACCACTTTGCTACTTCGAACAAATATATCCCTTTCTGGGACATATAAAAAAAAAAATACTACAATTGGTAAAAAAAATGGTGGGGGCAAACCCCCAGGCTACTAAGGCCCTGATCAAGGATGCCTGGTTGAGGGATTCTGTATCTATGGCAACATCTTTGTCGTTGCACTAAACATAAAATATCAAAGACTACTACAGAGTACCGCAATTTAAACTGATGTAATTAGACCATCTTTTGCTAATACCTGCTGACAACTCTCAATGCCTGTCTGAGCAGGGGTGGGTGGGGGTGAGGCTTTCTGATTTTGACTTCGGACCTCATGTAGGAAGAAAGGAGGAGAACCATAGTTCTGAGGGTCCCGACCTCCCGTTGAATAAAAAACGATTGTCGGATTATTTTGACACTTCAATAACACTGTTTGCATAGATTGGACATTTTGAATGTTTGCCCATGCGTGGACTCTCATATCAAACTGGCCATGTGTCATATCCTACTGCCTCTTGCTTTTCGGTCAAGCATTGATGTTTAAAAATGAATAAATAAAACTTCCGGCTTTTTTGCCCTTACTTGTTTAATGCGATGCCAATCGTTATCTTCTGTCTTCGTAATTCTTGTTCTTTTATTATTCTCTCTTAATAGTTTTCTTTGACTCTCTCATTGCCTCGTTCATCTTAAAGATACTTGCGTCCGACCACAGAACGGGTTTTATTGCCTTACTTGCCTCGTCAGTCATGTGAAATGATTAAAAAAAATAATGACCTTGGTTTTACAGTTAACTTGGTTAATGAATTCATCGTCCCCACTTCTCGCCTGTTTAACTCCTTCAGCCTCTCTATAAATATATTTAAAAAGTTTAAATAAACTGGATTTTGTTCTTTTTATTATCTTTTCTTTCTCTCATTCTTTCTTTCTTTGCGTCCGAGTGGTTTTATTGCCTTACCAGTCTAAGAAAAAATAATGACCTTGGTAAAGTAATGAAATATAAATATAGTTTAAATAAACTGGATTTTGTATTCAAAACTGTGCAAAAGGCAACAGGTAACCACTGAGCCATTTTTCCCATATTTATTACAACGTTTCGGCCGTTGTACACTCCGGCCTTCTTCAGGTGGTTGGAATGTCGAACTGACTGTTCTAGTTCCACGTGCCATGTCTAATTTAACTCAGTTATTAGTTATCTCCTGTTAATTCCCCTCTCCAAGTTCTCCTCCGCCTTAACCGCGTATTGAACTCACACACTTTGGGCCCTGTCACTGGATCTAACCAACGCCTTTGTCCACTGTACCATGTGTCCTTGAAGATACTGAAGGGCCGAAACGTTGTAATAAATATGGCGACAAAGATGAGGACAATAGTCCGAATAATATAAATAGTGTACATAATACTTCATCTCAGAAATATAGACAGATACTGAAGGGCCGAAACGTTGTAATAAATATGGCGACAAAGATGAGGACAATAGTCTGAATAATGTAAATAGTGTACATAATACCTCATCTCAGAAATATAGACAGATACTGAAGGGCCGAAACTTTGTAATAAATATGGCGACAAAGATGAGGACAATAGTCCGAATAATGTAAATAGTGTACATAATACCTCATCTCAGAAATATAGAAAGAACTATCTGGTTTAGGATTTGGAGCTTATAATGATTTTGAACTATTCCCCAAGGTAAATATATTTTTTCGTAACGCTAGATAACTTTTCTCATCGCTGGACTGGCTTGATGACAGACAGAGAGCAAATGAATTCGTGGGCAAGCTACTCTTTCATAAATACCTCAGCTGCCCAAGCAGTATCGCAGATAAAAGTGTTAGTCTCTTAGCCAACCTTGTAGCCAATAAGAACTAATTTATTTTTCGTACGGCAACCCACAACCTCTCAGGATCACATACCGTTTCCAAGTAACTAGTCAACGCCTTCATATATCTTCACTTAACACCTACTCAGGTACGAGTGATTGACTAAAGCAACGTCAGCACACCTGCCATTCAGGATCCTTACAGTTGCTGTTGGGGAGAAGGAGTGCGAAATTTAGACATTTAGAAATCTCTTCATTATTGGATACCCGAAACGGTAGAAAGATGTAGGTGCTCCGATCGAGGGAAACACACTCGAGCGTACGAATAATTAACTGCGGGAATGCAAGCAGACGAGTGTACTTATCTTCACGAACACACCAAGCAGAAAATCCCTATGTCGCGCTCTTTTTCTTGTATTTCGCAGGAAAAGCTCTGGAAGTCTCTACCAACATTGCAACGACAAAGGAGAGAGAATGGAAAATGGAAATATATATATATATATATATATATATATATATATATATATATATATTCATCCATAGACGTATTTACTTTTAGATAAACACACAGTGACTGAGAGAACTCGATTCCGAAGAGTCATGCATTATTAGCCGTAATAATCACTGTTTACAAACCCACACTTCCTCCCCAGAGAGCTCAACAGAAATAAATGTACCAGGAGCATATATATTGTCAGCCATAGACAGACTGTTTCGCTGTATCACAGCTCATCTGTGTGGCTAGACGTCCGGTTACGACTAGCTAAGATCGAAACCCGACTGAATTGGCGTCAGTCGGGCCTTCTACCACTAAGTCGTTGGTGCACAGCAGGGATATATATATATATATATATATATATATATATATATATATATATATATATATATATATATATATATATATATATATATCCGTAAATAAGAAACAGATGGCATATACATACATACTCGCAAAACATATATATACATTATGCAATAACACAATATATATATATATATATATATATATATATATATTGTGCAATGTACTGGGATTATAAGCGTTTTCCAAAGGTGTGAGCTCTCGAGCAAGATGCTCACGATACGATGATGGATAGTAACATTCTTATATATATATATATATATATATATATATATAATTAGGAGATAAGCTGACTCGGCTACCTTGGTTTCAACGTTTTGGTACCTTCAGGCAATTTCGGTCAATTGATTTTTTGAAGCTATATTTTTTAAAACTTTATGAATGCTATATTTTTTCAAAAATAAATAAATAAAAGAATAAGCGCACGACGTGCGAGAAGGAGGAGGAGAAGTAGGAGGAGGAGAAAAACAAGTGTATTTGAAATGCATCGGTGGGTCACAAAACAAAACTGGAATTTAAACCTCAAATAAAAGATATGAATTCGAGGAAAAGAAAAAATATTATCTTGTTTAACCCTATTTTAACTTAGAGGTCAAGTTTAAAATAGGCAAAATATTTTTCAAATTACTTAATAAACACTTCCCCAAAAAATCCGAATTACTTAAAATATTTAATAAAGACACAGTTAAACTAAGCTACAACTGTACTAGTATTTTAGAAATAACAATAAAAAACAAAACGCCAGAAGTTTGAATACTAACGTGCAGCAAAACATCATTAACAGTGAAATAAGAGTATATGTCCATTAGATGGCGTTTGCAAAACTGCAAGCAGTAATTTATAAAACGGAAATAATATATACAAATTGTGACGTCGTCCCCTGGTCGCAGCGCCAACTGTGACGTCCTATCCTGGTCTACCACGGCACCAGTTGTGACGTCCCTAAACAGCACCAATTGTGACGTCCTCGCCGCGGCGCCAGCTGTTCGCTCCTCGCTGCTCCGTTCGGGTGTCGCTGCTCCAAACGTGACGTCCGCCTGTCGCGTCAGTCGTGTTGTCTCGTCCTGTGACGACCAACTGGCTTGGTATCGGTCGCGGCACCCAAATGTGACGTTCTAACCTTTTGGTGATTCGGGTGGGAATCTGGTTAGATTTGATATCAGCCTCTTCGTTCCCCAACTCGCTTCCAACGCCTGGTTACCAAGGTAACTGCATTGATCTCCAGTCCGCCTACCCACGTTGTGAATTGATCTTAGGCAGACGAGATCAAACAGTGGTTGGGGACGTAATGCAAACTGAGTTCAACGGGGGTGATACCACACAAATATGCATAAAAAAAAAATAATAAATGAAAACTCAAAAAGTTCAAAGTATCAAAGAAAAAGGTAACAAACTTTATGTCTAGTTGTTCGATACATAGGACTGCATCTATCTCCCGACCCGTTCTATGGATTGTGACACGTCGTTTTCCGTTAGGCAAGTTTTAACGCTTCAAGTTGTTTGCTCTCTAAGAAATTGGTTTTTCGGTGTGTCTTCGGACGAAAGTCGAAAAAAACTTATTTCGGTGGTCTGGATCTAAGTCGCTCTTCAAAATAATTGTTCTTGGGTTGAAGAGGAGTCCGGAATTTGCGTGAATCTTGGTCAGCTATCTGCGAGGCGGCTTCAACTGGAGACTCAACTCAAACCTAAATTGGAACTGGACTCACTGGAACTGATTTCTGCTCGTTGTGGCTTCGCTTGTATGGACGCCGACCAAAACCGGGGTGGGTCTGTCGGGGTTTCCTCGATAATTCTAAATACATATCTACCTCTCTGGTTAGGAATTTCCACTTTTTTCCATTTTTGGGAGCCTTTCCTTACTCCCACCTTCTCACCATACTTCAGAGGGGCGTGAACTTCCCTCCCCACTTCTTCGTAGCAGCTTCTCATACCTATACTCTGGATGAAGCGGTGACAGCCTCCTTCGTGCATCACGTGATCACCACTCGAACAATGATGTCTTAGTCGGCCGTGGACAAATCCGCGGCTTTGTTTCAGGGAAAAAAAATATCTTGCTTAACTAAAAAAAATTATCCCTTCTTTTCCTTTTCTTCCTCTTAATCGCCGTTATCATTTCTCTAGCCGCAAACGGGACAATATGAACAATGGCGGTCATAACTCTTGTTCTACACGTGGTTTTCGTCAGGTATTTTATCGCCAATTATCAGAATGGGTGGTCTTCTTAACACGGCCAACGTCGCCCCGAAAAGACATTTCTAAATTCCCATTCATTTCCCTTCGGTACATATTTCTGATAACATAATTTTATTATCGCAGGCCAAGGATGTTCCGTCGAAGGAAATCGGTCAGCGGACACTCGTGAATGGCTTTTAATTTTTCATATCTGTCCAAAGTCCTTTTAGTTGCCTGTTTTTCGTCGCTTATCGAAATAACATTTTCATTTGAATTTTTCTTTGGCCAGTCGGTCTGTAGTTGTTAATAAGATGCCTTCCCGTACCAATAGTTTGTTTTCATATCCTTAGATAACACAGTCGTCGCCAAAACATATCTGATTCTTTCTTTCTTTCCCTTTCTTTTTACTCAGAATTTCCCTGTCATTGTAATGACACCCTTTCGCCATTTGTTACTTATCAAAATATCCCTTATCCATTGTCTCTTAGACGTGTGTATGTTCTGCTTATCATCCACGATTCGGTCCTTAGCCTCTCCTTTTCTTCTTTTCTTTCTTTTCTTTTTCTGCCTCGTTAAATGGTGCCACAAATGGCCAAAAAATATATATAGGTTGTATTGAGCGTAACTTTAAGAAGAGGTTCTACAATCACAAGTCATCTTTTAAGCTAGAATTGTACTAGATAACCATGTGTGGAAAATAAAGGAAAAATCCGATTGTAAACTGGAAAAATTTAAAATACTTACAACAATCTGCAACATTTGTCAACAAGAAAAGATAGCTATAATAACATTTCCAAACCAAAAAGATTTTAAATGAGAGATCGGAAATTATGACCCGTTGTATACATACTAAAATGTTTCTTTTTTCATATGAAGTGGGATAAAAAGAAAGTATATATATTTAATTTAACCCTGCACCGATAGATTTTCAATACACTTGCTTTTCTCCGTCTCTTCCACCTCCTCCTCAGATTCTACGACGCAAGGCGTCGTAAGCTTATACATTTTTTTTTAATATAGCGTTCATAATTAAAAATAAGCGTTAGGAAATCAATTGACTGAAATCGCCAGAAGATATCGAAAGACTGAAACCAAGGTAGCGGAATCGGCTGATCTCCTAATTTTCTATAGCATATATATATATATATGTATGTGTGTGTGTGTGTATACTATTTAAAATTTGTCATATTTATTATTGAAGGGCTTTCCGCAAAGGACGTAGAGCCTTTGTAAATATATGCAGTGTAGTCATAGAAATTTACATTGCATTGGGTTTGCACAAAAGGCAGTGATGCATTGTGAGAAGTTCATTTGAGGCATACAGTTAACATTCAGCACTGCTCATGATATATATATATGCGTGTGTGTGTACGAATTTCAATTGATGAGATCCAAACAATTTACAAGTAAATTGTTTGGATCTCATTGATTGCAATTCACTGATCTGCTCTATGATAAAACTTATATCGAACCCTCTTTTGTGGATCAGTTTCGATATTTCATATTAATAGGATCTACTTGGATTACTTACCCACGGATTTTCTTACCTGTGATCTATCTATCTATCTATCTATCTATCTCTTTAGATATATATATATATATATATATATATATATATATATATATATATATATATATATATACACTGTCGTTTTTTATATAAGAGGGTCAGTCTAATATTGGCCAACGAAATTGTTATACTACATTTGTGGTCTAGATTTGATAGGCGTGTTTGTCGTTGATCACGGTAAACTTGTAAGATTTGCAATATAATATAGAAAATAAAAAACTTCCAATTACAACAGACTTATAAAATCTATACCCTCCAAGGGTATTTTCAATACACACACACACACACATATATATATATATATATATGTGCATATATATGTTGATGTATTAGTCTTTCAATTTATTGATAAGCGGCTGATGGTAGAATATTAATATTTCATGATAGTAAGTCATGCTCTCATGGCAGTCGAAGAATTTCAGATGTGACGTTGGTAGAAGTTGCTTCATTTACATAATTTGGTTTGCCAACAGGGCGACAGCCATGATGGATCATCGTCATGATCGGAGATGATGCGATGTCTCGCAGATCTGACACGCCCAAATTCATTCATATATTACTCAGATATTTTTCTTCGACTCCTATCACAACACCAACAAATAATTTCTAGCTCTTTCTAGTTTCCCTTCTCCCCCGACAAACAAACCTTTCCCCTTAATTTTCAAATTGTTGATATTAAATTAAATAAGTAAAAATCTCTTATATCGATAGTTGCTCAGCGAAATTGGTGTCCCGTATGATTTCACATATATAAACATCTGCTTCTTTGCATTTCATGCCTTTTTTTATGTATATTAAAGACTGACAACTATTCAACTGGTAATACACATCGATTTGTTCTGTTAACAGTTAAAATGGTGTTTAAAATAATTACCGTATTTAACGGCATATAAAACACACCGTTGTATAAAACGCACCCCAATTTTAGCAAGGAAAATCAAGAAAAAGTTAGTAATTAGTAAAATTATTAGTAAATGTTAAAGCCTAGGTTATATTTATGGTGTATTATTTTGGTTAAAGAAGCCATGATTACAATTAAACGAAAAATAATAGGAAAAAAGAACACGAGCCTTATTATATCCAAAGGTAAGAAAACAAAATAAAAATCAAGCAGTTATTACAATTGAGCAAAACAGTACAGTTGCTATTAAAATTCAGTCAAAAATTTTCCTTTATATGATCTATATAAGCTTCGTCTTGTAAACATTTTAGTGGAATAATTAGGATATAAAAATTCTGATTGTATTTATTCCAATGCAACTAAAGGGGGGGGTCATCGCAAGAAAAGTATTAATGAAACAAATATATTTTACAAATATATAAATTGAATTTCTTGCATATAATTTTAGTGAAACAAAGTACTAATATTAAACGTCATGAAATTAATATAATGAATATTATCAATGATAACCTTTTAATCTGCATAATAGCCTTTTAAATAATGACAATAGGTATATGAAAATTACTCTAAAGTCTAAACTAATAGGAGTTGTCAGGTAGCTAATTTCGACCAACTATCGCGAATTTTAAACCTACATATGGCATATAACACGCAGATATTTTTAGTAAAAAGAGTGCGTCTTATATGCTGTCAAATAAGTTATATCAATATTCTTATTTTTACTATCTCCTATATCCCCCCCACGATGTATTAATAATTTACTGACTTGGTTTGAGCTGGAGGCACGAAAGTGTCGGGTAGAGGATAAAGGGAAGAATTTGAGGAGTTTGACGGAACGCTTATCATAGCATAAAACGTATTCGGATTCGGAAATCAAGAGATGACTAACCTGCAATCTTTTGTAGAGAAACCAAAAACGGCGAAGTTTTGGAGAAAATGGAAACAAAAAGGAAACTTATACTTAACATCAGGAAGAGACTGTTGAAATTTCTGTGGCATATAATGAGGATGGAAGGCTTGGAAAATCACGGGACAGATAGAGGACAAGAGAGACAGAGGAAAATAACGCATAACCTACTTAGAGAGCTTGAGTAAATAGGGGGGGGTGCACAAGGCATTGGAGAAATAACAGAAAGACAAAGTTTATTAAGAACTACAAAGGACAGGAAATTGTGGAGAGCCTTGGTCGCTTACGTCATCAAGGGACACAACATAGTAAAAAGTGAGGCCCCTGAGAGACTAAATGTGTGTCATTTGGAAGCGAAGATTTGAACGTTTAGATTCTGCCCTTTTCTTTTATTCCCTTCACCGTCCGCCTACGTTGATCGTTTCTTGCTTCCACATCAGGGCCAAGTGTCGACGACACCTTCTCGGCTCAGTCTGGAATAGGAAGGCGATAAAAGTGCCATTCGCCATCGCTGGGACACCTGCAGACAAGGTCGTCACACGCGCCTCTTCCTCATACGCGCCACAAGCAGATGAAGTGGCCATGATTGGCCACACACAAGGCTACACCTTGTGACCAGCCGCCCATAGGGTCAAAGGAGTGGCAAAACGTGCCAATATCACTCATTTTCTGAACTTGCCCGATTTGATGTCCGAAATTATTCTCAATCTTCATTATTAACACGTTTATTTCTTTCTCATCATTTATCATTCCACTTATTCGATTACATTTTATTCTTTCATAGAGTACATGTAGCATTATTATTATTATTATTATTATAAGACATTTTTATGTTTATACATTCTTTTTTTATAGATACAAATATTTAAGTAAATGCTCTGTTTTATAATAAACAGTATTAAATACAATATTTACCGGCCTGAATGTCCGAGAAATTGTCATAGAAAATATGCGTCCTCCAACAGAAATCGAACCTGTATCTTATAGGTAACAGTTATATAGCCTGATGTGCCTTAACCGATTGAGCCACAGAGGAGCGTGCGGTTAGCAAGGTCGATTTTACTGCTTTTAAACGACAATCTTCCATGAATCTATCACGTACATTCATGTCTGCTCATGGCGTATCCAAATGTAAACAAATGACGTCACACATTATGAAATGGACAAAGTCCGACAATTATTTTAAAGATATTTTCATGATTATACATTCTTTTTATAGATACAAATATTAAAGTGTTTTATAATAAACAATATTAACAACATTTACCGGCCTGAATATCCGAGAAATTCTTCTATTGATTCTCGTAAAATTGTGGTCTTAGCAAATTTAACCAAATCGAATTCCATTCAAATGTCATCACTGAAATATTTTATACTTTTCAGGAGACCTTCCAGATCACTAGCATTCCTTGGATACAACTTTAAGTCATCCATGTAAAGTAGATGGCTTATTCTCTTTTGTCAGATTCCGTCCTGGTAAGTTTGCTGGTTAAAGCTATTTGGGATATACAAAATAGTAAGGGAGACAAAGTGTCACCTTGAAATATTCCTCTGTTGATGTTTATTTCACCAGACTTATAGATCTCATTTATATGACTGAGGTGAGGTGTTGTTTTCCATATCGACATTCTTTGATTAATGAAACTGATGACTTCGGTTTATACCTTGAATATTGTAAAGACTTTAAGATCCAGAAATCGGGTAAACTATCGAATCCAAGTTTTCCAAGATCATTCTATTAATAAGTAATTGGTCTTTACATCCGTAAGAGTCACGTTTGTACCCCTTTTTTTCAAGGAATATGTCTGTTTTGGCAGAATAAATGTCAGCAGTTTGTAAGTAGTGGGAAGACATGTAATTGGTCTGTAGTTTTTGGTCACATTTGTGTCACCATTTTTGGGTAAAAGGAAGGTAATTCCTTTAGCTACCCATACCGGAATTTTAGTAGGATAATTGACCGTTTCTTGAAGTTCTTTGGCAAGATTTTTTAGATAATAAAGCTCAAAATTATGAACTTTATCTATTCCTAGAGATGTCCAGTTGTGGGCTTTTTTTTCAGTGCGCATTAAACATTCTCTTCTCTGATTCCCGCCAGGTTTGTTTTGATTCAATTTTCATCCGTTCTACTTATTGCGTAATCCCATCTTCTTTTTTGTTATTTTCTTTAGGGCAAGCCTCTATTTTTCCCCAGAACTGTATAATCTCTTCAATTGTGTTTGCGGTGAAGGTTTTCATTTAAATTTTTTGTTTGCCTATTACTCTATAAAATTTCTTCGAATTGGTTTGAAAGATCTTGTTTTTTCTGTAGAATCTAGATCTTTTTCATAGTATATATATATATATATATATATATATATATATATATATATATATATATATATATATAGACTTTATTCAGTCGTTCATTCATTTATTCGTCCACCTGTATATTCAGTTATTTATTCACTGAACTCGTCGAAAATAATTAGCGTTATCTACAACTGACATCGTAGTTTTTCTAAGAAAAAAATATCTTAGTTCTTCAAGAAAAAAATTTTTTTTCGAAATATCTACGACTAATATCGTAGTATTTCTAAGGAAGTCATGAATAACACAGACAAAAAAAAAACTAGTTGATTAAGCAATCAGGATTATTAAAAGTGAAACAGATATATTAAATAATAATAATAATAATAATAATGAGAAGAGGAAGAACAAGAAGAAGAAAAAGAAAAATTCATATTTATGTTAAAATGGTAGTCAAAAAAATTAGTAAGAAAATTTCATATTTACGTTTTCTTTAAAGAAAAAGAAAATGTTAAATTTTCAGGAGCTTCGAAAAACACGTCTCATTCTCGTTGTCATTGCAACCGCGTCATCTTCTTCTTCTTCTTCTTCTTCTTCTTCTTATTATTATTATTATTATTATTATTATTGTTTAATTTCCTTTGATTTCTGGTGGGTACTCATTTCTTTCCAGAGATCTAAGGTCAGAAATGGTATCATGACATTTTCTACTGATTCTATTGGAATTTTTTCCAACTAATTCGAGGGCTCCAACTACAACTGGGATTGTTGATGTTCTCATGTGCCACATTTTTTAGATTTCGATTTCAAGGTCTTTGTATTTTGACAGCTTTTTGAAGATCTTCAAAGATACATTGCAGTCCGCAGGGATTGCCATATCAATAAGGAGACAATGTTTTTGTTTGCGGTCTCTAATAACGATGTTAGTGTGATTAGCTTTGATTGTTCTGTTTGTGTGCATTGTGTAGTCCCATAAAGTTGTTACGGCTTCTATCTCCGTAACCGGGTCTTATTATTATTACTATTATTATTATTATTTGTGTATGTCATGTTTCCCGCTTCGTATCTTGCAGAGCGGGGTCCAAACTATGGTCGTTAGACCCTATAGAGAATTGTCATGTAATTGATTTCTTAGTATAACAGATGTTCCTAGTAGGGCGATCTTCTGGGCAACTTATATGTTGATGTTACCTGGGACCTTGTTAATAAAATTGTCTATTCCTTTTCTCACGAGGCCCAGAGCTCCGATTACTATTGGTACAGTCTTAGTCTTCATTCTCCACATCCTGTTAATCTCGATCTCCAGGTCCTTGAATTTGGATAATTTCTTGATAATTTTCATCGAGGTGTTTCTCTCATATGATACTGCTTTATCAATAAGCATAAACTTCCTGAATTTTTTTCTTTTATCATAATATCAAAATTTAACAACATGTCTAGAAAACCGGAAGTCAAATGGTAACAAGTGAAAGAAAAGAGGAAAAAGAGAGAACAGCTTAAGGCGTGAGTGTAAAGTGAAAAAATACGACGAAAAGGACATATAACGACGACATTCTACACGCACGGGGCATATGTGCAGACGGTCATATGGGCGAGACAATGCACACATATACTATGAAAAATATTGCACCAATGAAAAGTATAATCGAGAAATATACGCAAACATTTACTGATACCCACTGACGAGGGGACAGTGTAATTGTCGGAGGGTCTGCCTACGAATTTCTGGTGTTAGGATGCTGAAGGTAACAACAATCAGCTAAGTGCCAAACCTTTTACTTGTATAAATTAATTCTTTCTCTCTCTCTCTCTCTCTCTCTCTCTCTCTCTCTCTATATATATATATATATATATATATATATATGCAGTGGAACTTTATTCAATCTGTTCTCTCTCTCATCTGGATATATACATATATGCATACATATATATATATATATATATATATATATATATGTATGTATGTACATATTTGTATATATATATATATATATATATATATATATATATATATATATATATATATATGTGTGTGTGTGTGTGTGTGTGTGTGTGTGTGTGTGTGTGTATGTATGTACATATCCAAATGAGAGAGAGAACAGATTGAGTAAAATTCTAGTGTTCAGAGCATTTATTTTCAAAAAATGTGCTCAATACAAAGTAGAGTAATATATTATTATTATTTTTATTATAAGAGATTATGATAAAGACATGTTGAACTCGCTACAAAAAACCTTTCATGTTTCAATACTTTTGACTGTAGTTCTTCAGGCGATGGTCAGTAGTTACTGACCACCGCCTGAAAAAGTACAATCAGATAATTAAAACATGAAAGGTTTTGTGTCGTGAGTTCAACATGTCTTTATTGTAATCTCTTATAATAAAAATAAAATTAATATATTTCTCTCTCTCTCTCTCTCTCTCTCTCTCTATATATATATATATATATATATATATATATATCAAATAAGCAAACATCAAGAGAACGGTGAATACGTTTAAAACAGAAGGAAAACAGTAAAAAGGAAAACTGGATCAGAAGGTCGCAACAGGAAGAAGGATCATCATTTCAATTTAGGTACTTATGACTTTGCATATCTACTCGTAAGAATTAGTGGTTTTTATTTTTTTAATCCAATTTTATTACTTCAAAAGTTTATTTTTAGTAGATACCCGTGTTTGTGTAGACGTTCCGTTAATTTTAAACTGATATGCATTTCGAGAAAAATCTGAACGAGTGAATCTCCTTTAAAGCCAAAATAAAACCTTGCCTAGCTGCGAAGCTCTTCCTACAGTGGCCGAGTGGATTAAAGCATTCGTTCGGGAAACTGGTGACATATTAACTGTGAGTTCAATCTCAGGGTCGGGCAGTACCTAGGTGAACTAAGTGGAAAGCTGTCGAGCAATAACGGAGCAGTACTAAAAATAGAAACTAAGAGAGTTATCTCCCCTAGACATAGGCACGGAATGGTCTAACCTCCTAGATTAAATAATGGGTTCAGTTACGAATTCCTTGTAAGTTACCAGAATATACCTGATGATGGTCGGAGTACACAACGGTCGGACCGTTGTGGTAATAACAATAAATAGTTTGCAAATAGTGTAAATAAAATCTCAATGCAATAAAGAAAGCAAGTAAGAATTCAGGGAGATCAGGTTTCAGCTTTCCTATTTTGTTCATTGTTTTGTTTCGCTATCTCAATGATTTCTATCCAGTTTTTCTTTCTTTAATTTTTGTTTTCATTCTGTCCTTCTTTTCCTTAAAATTTTAACCTGCAGTTCTTTCAGTCTTTCTGTCTTTCTTTATTTCTTTCTTTCAACACTGATGTACCCTTTTTTCTTTTCTTTCTTTCTTTCTTTTTTCAACACTCAATTTGCCTTTCCTTCCTTCTTTCTTTCTTTCTTTCTTTTAATATTCATGTCCCCTTTCTTTTTTGTTTCTTTAAATTCTTATATCCTCTTTCTTTTTTCTTTGTTTCTTATTTTGCGTTGTTTGTTTCTTTCTGCCAACACTCACTTCACCTTTCTTTCTTTCTTTCTTTCTTTTAATTCTCATATCTACTTTTTTTCTTAATATCGTCTGCAATTCATTTTCTTCTTGATATTCGCCTTTTTTTCAACCCATTTCAATATTTTACAAGATTTCTCGTCTACTTGAAAGATTTCATTTGTCACTTCACACGTATTTTTTTACCCACATTTTCATTCTTATATCTTTTTGCTTCTTTTTTTCCTCGTTTACTTTCAGCTAAATATCTCGTCTCTTTCCCTTCTCGAAATATTACCCTTCTTTTTTTTAACTTCCTCCCTCGTCTTAATTTTCTTTTTGCCTCTTTTTTCGTTTGAAAAGCTCTCATCTTCTTTAATAGCATTTCGTTTCACTTCTTTTGGTTACCTCCGTGCTTTCTTTCATCTTTTTGTTTTCTTCTTTTTTTCTCGTCTTTCTCTTGCGAATCGCTTCTTGAACCACGAGTTTCTTATTTACACCTTAACCTTAAATTCACCTTGCCTCCATTCGCTATCTAGAACGGCTCCTTCGTGA